AACCAACCCAAATGCCCATCGATCATAGACTGGACAGGGAAAATGTGACACATATACACCATGGAATATTAGGCAGCCATCAAAAATGATGAGTTGTAGGGACACGGATGAACCTGGAAACCATCATTCTTAGCAAACTGACATAGAACAGAAAATCAAACACCGCATGTTCTCACTCATAGGTGGGTGTTGAACAATGAGGACACATGGACACAGGGAGGGAAGCATCACACACTGGGGTCTGTTGGGGGGGAATAGGGGAGGGACAGCAAGGGGTGGGGAATTGGGGAGTGATAGCATGGGGAGAAATGCCAGATATAGGTGATGGGGAGGAAGGCAGCAAATCACACTGCCATGTGTGTACCTATGCAACAATCTTGCACGTTCTTCACGTGTACCCCAAAACCTAAAATGCAATAAAAAATGTAGGCAAAAGACACTTCTCAAAAGAAGATAAACACTTGGCCAACAAGCCTTGAAAAAATACTCAACACCACTAATTACCAAAGAAACACCAATCGAAGCTGCAATGAGATACAATCTCACAACAGAACAAGTGGCTATCATTAAAAAGTCAAAAAATAACAGATGCTGGTGAGGCTGTGGAGAAAGGGAGCAGTTATAAACTGTTGATGGGCATGTAAATCAGTACAGCCACTGTGGAAAGCAGTTTGGTAATTTCTCAAAGAACTTGAAACAGAGCTACCATTCAACACAGAAATGTCATTACTGGGTATATATCTAAAAGGAAACAAATTCTACCAAAAAGACACATGAACTTGCACACGCATAGCTGCACTATTCACAATAGTAAAGACATGCAGTCAGCCTAGGTGTCCATCAGTGGTGGATTGGTAAAGAAAATATAGTACATATGCACCATGGAATACTACACAGCATAAAAAAGAATGAAATCCTGTCCATTGCAGCAACACAGATGTAGCTGGAGGCTAAATAACACTGGAACAGAAAACCAAATACTGCGTGTTCTCACTGCTTAGTGGGAGCTAAACTGGGTACTCATGCACGTAAAGATGGCAACAACAGACACTGGGGACTACTTGGAGGGGGATGGAGGGAGGGAGGAAGTCAAGAGTTGAATAATGAACAATTGGGTATTATGCTCGCTACCTGGGTGATGGGATCATTTATATCCCAAACCTCAGCATCACACAATATACCCATTTAACAAACCTGCACATGTCCTCCCTGAATTGAAAATAAAAGTTGAAGTTATATCAAAAAATTTTCATCAATAAAAACAAATAAAATAGTAAAATGCTACAATCTTAATAATCACAAAAGAATTTTTGTTTTAAAGTTGAAATTGAGAAAATTGTATTTAATGTAAATATTAAAAATAATGTATTAGGAGTATAATTTCAGAAAAAATTAGTCATTGTCAATAGATCTTTAGAATTATTTAAATAACAATATGGAGCAGAACAATATAGATTAGATTATGCCACAATTTGTTTTTATTGTTTCCAATTCTTTGCATCTAAAATATAAGATTGGAAAAAATATATACTAAATGTGTGCCCTTTGAAGTTGCTTTATGTGGGAATGGATGTATGATAAAGATAAAATCTCAAATCACTTGGCACAAGGATGGGTTTTTTAATGAATGGAGTTGAGACCTATGGGTAGCCATTGGGTAAAGGATCAGATTGTTTTCATACCACATACCAGGGCAAACTCCAATGAAGCAAAAGTGTGCTAGAAGAAAACATATCAAAGTTGCTTTACTTTAGTCTCTGCCAGTTCTTCTACCTCTCTATCTTTTTGCATGTACTTTCAGTATTTCTTACTGTAGATATTAGCAAATACAAATATACATTCTTACCTTCCCTAATTTATTACTCAGTGGTAGCATACTGTAAACATGTAAACAGTCATTCTTTCTTCACTAAACAATATAACCCGAAGGTCTGTCTACATCAGTATGAAGAGAGCGTCCTCATTCTTTTTTTAATGGTTAGGTGGTATTCCATTGATAACATCATAGTCTGGTTGAACAGTTTTGCTTTGGTGGACATTTGCATATTTTCTTTTAAAATTAGATTATGTATAATCTTACACATTTCAAGTGTTCAAGGATAAGTTTCTAAATTGTCTGGTCAAAGTTTTTGTAAACTTTTCATGCACTGTCAAATTTCTATTGGGATTGTACTATTTTATGCTTTCATTAGCAAGATATGCTCGCACCTATTACTATAAAGCCTTATCAACATAATGTATTGTCAAATTTTTGGATCTTTGCCAGTATAATAGATGAAAAATTGCATCTCTTATGTTTGAAGTTGAGTACACTTGTGTATATTTCAGGACAATTTTATCACTTTTTTCTCTGTGAGCCTTCTTATTATATCCATTATCCATTTTTCTACTGGGTTTTTATTGTTTTTCTGCTAGATTTTAAAGAGCTTTTCATATATTAACAAGTAAACCTCTGTCCATTACATGAATCATATATATCTTTTAGCTTGGATTTTTTTTTTTTTTGCTGTTTTGAAGTTTGTTTTTTAATGAAGTTATGCATTTGAATTTTCATTTTATTTTATAGCTTGTAGATTTTAAGTCACAGTTAGAAAAGTCTTTCCCATCCCAAGATCATAAAAAGATTTAATATATTTTCTTCTTGTACATTTTTGATTCATTGGCTTTTGCCCTGGTATGTGGTATGAAAACAATGTGATCTTTTATCATATAGGTACCCATAGGTCTCATCTCCATTCATTAAAAAGCCCATCTTGTGCCATGTGATTTGAGATTTTACTTTTATCATACATTCAGTTCCCACATGAATTTGAGGCTACATTTAGACTTCCTATTTGGTTCCTTTAGTCTGTCCACATAATCTTCCATTACTATCCTGCTGTTTTAATTATTGTGGCTCTAGAATATGCTTCAATTTTTTGGTTCATCCTCATTATCTTCTCTTTAATAGTTTTCATGACTATATACCATAGTTTGAATACTGTGGAGTTGTTTGGTATGCTACTATTTGTAATATTAAAAATAAACTTTATGCTGGGCATTATGGCTTATGTCTGTAATCGCAGCACTTTTGGAGGCCGTGGCAGGTGAATCACCTGAGATCAGGAGTTTGAGATCAGTCTGGCCAACATGGTGAAACTCTAGCTCTACTAAAAATACAAAAAATTAGCCAAGTGTGTTGGCACATGCCTGTAGTCTCAGCTATTCAGAAGGCTGAGACAGGAAAATTGCTTGAACTTGGGAGGCAGAGGCTGCAGTGCTCTGAGATCACGCCACTGCACTTCAGTCTGTGTGAGACAGAGAGAGATTCTGTCTCAAGAAAGTAAAAATAAAAATAAATAAATAAACTTTAAGAATCACTTTTAGTTTGTAGTTATTTAAATTCATTTGACCTTCCATTTATTCTAGCAATGCTCATTGAGTGCCCATTATGTGCTTATTACCACCTTTCTACATACTTGGGCGCATCAGTGAACAGAACAAATTTCTGCTCTCTTGTAGCTTTGTTGCCACATGCATTAGTCCTGTCTTTCAAGAAAAAAGTCTATTTGATTATTCTTCACATCATCTGAGGTTGAATTAAGGCAGAATGCCAACTTTTCCATTTTAATATTTTATGAAGAAAAAAGTGTTCAGAATCTTGTTCAACAACATCTATAATAAATCATCTTTGATTTAGAATTGTAAAGAGTATGAAGAAAAGAAATAAGTGCTGGAGAAAAACGAGACACCCAAGAGATATCTTGTTCTTTTACTTATCTTGGTTGAAATTAAGTGTCTACTTAGTATCATAAATTTACAGTACAGAGACCGCAGAAGCATTTCAGCCATTGACAAGGTAAGAAATGATTGTTCCTGTACTATATCAAGTATTTAAAAATTGACTCCTCAACTGTTAATAATAAAATTGTAGTAATAATTTTTTGTTAAAATTTAAGATTTATTGTCAAATCCCAGAAGCTGTGGTGGGATACTCGGCATCAACTGCAGCTTTGGCTGAATACTGCTTTCAGCATTGACCACTTAGAATGATATAAAATACGCATATATTTTCAGAGGTCCTTTACCATCAATTATTTTTTTTTCAAAGACAGAAGCCAAAATGTGAGAATAATAGAGGTGCCTGCATGTCAGGAGCACATCAAACTCATGACAACATTTTCTCTTTTTTTTTTGAGATGGAGTTTCGCTCTTTACCCAGGCTGGAGTGCAATGGCGCAATCTTGGCTTACCGCAACCTCCGCCTCCTGGGTTCAGGCAATTCTCCTGCCTCAGCCTCCTGAGTAGCTGGGATTACAGGCACGCGCCACCATGCCCAGCTAATTTTTTGTAGTTTTTAGTAGAGACGGGGTTTCACCATGTTGACCAGGATGGTCTCGATCTCTTGACCTCGTGATCCACCCGCCTCGGCCTCCCAAAGTGCTGGGATTACAGGCGTGAGCCACCGCGCCCGGCCTTCATGACAACATTTTCAACAGTT